GATTTAGTGGTATCAGAGCTTAGGTTGAAATTAAGAGCTTAAGATTAAATTAAGCACCTCCAGATTGAGTGGCATTAGAGCAGATTGAGTGATATCCGAGCCTAGGTTTAATTGAATACCTAGGATTTGTTTGGAACTTGGCTAGCCAGTGGATTTTAGACCCGTGGTGAGACGAGTAATGGGGTATATAAGGAACGATTCTGATTCGTGTTGCTTGAATTTTCTCATCCATTTCGATGAGATGGTGATCTGATTGTTCTTGTTTCTTGCCTTCATACTTTGTGTGAAGTTGTGAAAGTAATCTTGCCCGTCATGTTCTTAAGACCTTGTTTTGAAAGTTGGTCATTTTCTGATAGTCTACACTTGTTTAGGCTTGTTACGTGAATAGAATTTTTGTGTGCTCTTTTGCCACAATTGTGAAATCTGGGGAGTTGCAGAGATCTTTTGTCAGTGATCTTGTTGGTCTCTACCACATAGCTGGTGGAGAATTTGTTCTGTTTGTCATATGACCAGTGGAAGATGGGCAACCCTCTACCTTGTAAGAGATTCTAGGCTATTTTAGCAAATGTTGTGTGTTTTTCTAGATGCGTTTTAGGAGCTGGATTACTTGGTAATTCCGTTGCTCCTTATTTTCTATAAGTCTTGTAGTGAAATTTCACTTTTTCCATTTGGAGCTTCATGGTCTTTTCATGTGGCTCATTTTTCTGTATTGGTTAATCAAAAATAGTGATCATTCAATTGAAATTGCCATGTTTTGTGAAGATTGGCAAACTGTCATAAAGTTAAACTCTATTGTTGCCAATCTCTACATTCTTGATATCTGAAAATTGCTTGAAACTCTTGAAATCCATCTTGAATTTTTCTTGAGATTGCTTTGTACTTGTTCTTGAAACTGAAATCCAAAGGAAATGGATAATGATTATTGAAATCCTTATTATCTTGATTCTTGTCTGAAATTAATCCTTGCATTGTTCTTGGAATCTATTCTTGAAAATCAATTGATATTTGGTTTTTGGAATCTAGTTTGAATTGTCCTTGAAAACCATTCTTGTTCTAACACTGGTTCTTGCTCAAATTATGTATACTGCTCTTGCTCAATTCCGCATATTCTGCTAGTTCTTGTTTCAGTATACCTGATGATCTTCTTGATTTTTGATTTTTGTTCATATGGACACCTCTTTAGGAGGGGTGACGATTATCAGAAGATACCTATATGAGGTATTCTAAATTCTTGTCTCTTGCAAGTGTTAATCTCTGTATTCTGGATGTCTTAGGTTTGACTTGACTCTAGGATGACCTAATTGAAAATCTGCTTAGCCTCGCCTCCATGAGCTACGAGGTAAAGGGGTAGTCCTTGAAATACTTGATGCCCTAGAGTTTTGTTCCAAGTGAAATGGTTCTTTGATCTGGCTGCTTGGATTTTTGTTTTCCCTTTTAATTGGAAGACATGAATCTTCTAAGTATCATGATCCCCATTATTGATTCTTTTGTTAATTAATTCTAGTACTTGGGGTGCTAGATCTTGATATCCTGATTGTATTTGCTCTTGAATCCTTGTTCTCATTGTCATTATTGAAATCTCTTTTGTGGGCCTAATTTTTGAAATTCTATTGCTTGTTTCATGGTTAACTCTTGTCTCTCAATTTTGACTGCTTGGTTAAATGTGATCTTGATTCTTGGTGAATGCCGTTTTGTTGCCAAATTTTTGAGGCATTCTACCTTGCACTCTTGTGTTCCAATATTCTTCCAAGCATTCATATTTTCCATTGATTTTATTATGTTGCAATTCTTGAGATTCTTACATGTCTTTTGATGGGTCCAGCTTTTAACTCTTGTTAATTGCTAAAATTTGTTTCTTGATTCCAGTTGCTTTGTTAAACATGATCTTGGTTCTGGTTAACCTTTTTTTGTGGCAGAATGTATAAGGCATCCATGCACTCGTTCATTATTTATGATCCATATATCCATTGGATGCTTATCCGTCTTTGATAGAGTTCAAAGTTTTGTTGTACTCATCTATACATCCATGCCATTCTTGCCAACTCGTCTTGTGTTGGGTTCAAAGCGTAACCCCACAACTGTTTCTTTTGTGGCCTTGGCAGGATTTATTTCTATTCCTTGTGCTTTCCGTATTACCCCAACCTCTAGTAGCTTGTTTCATGGTAAATCCTGTTAAGTGATTAGTGTTCTGCTTTTAAGATTAGTCGTGGTTTGATATTAGAGTGGCGCAGCGGAAGCGTAATAGGCCATGTCTGTTCCTAGAAAGAGTTAGTGGAGCATTGTTTTGCCTTGGATTGTGTGAAGCCATTCACTACTCTAGATGGTCCTCAATTTGAGTTTTGGGGACAAAACTCCTTTTTAGGAGGGGTGTGCGTAATATTCCAAATTTTCGAGAATATTTAAGTGTAAGTTAGGGTTTTGATTGTGAGAAAAGATTGTTTTGGGGCCTAATGTGAATATTTCAAAAGTTGAGGGATTTAAAGAGGGAAAATAATTGGATAAGGATCAGTTTCTTTTCTTTTTCTTTTTCCTTCTTTTCTTCCCCAGCCATTTCCCGATTCTG